AGGCGTGCGCGAGGATGGGTTTTACGACCGTGGTGTGTGTGTGTGTGTGTGTGTGTGTGTGTGTGTGTGTGTGTGTGTGTGTAGTGCGAGCGCTTCATGGGGTTGCTAGTCAATGTCGCCCGCCCGCCCGCCCGCCCCAAGTCGTTCACATCCACCCTCTCTCTGTTCGGGACGCGCGCGCTTTGACAGGACAAACGCGCGGCGGGGCATAACAACGCAAGGTCGCGCGCGCGCGCGCGCGCGTGTGTGTGTGTGTGTGTATAGCTTCTGTTCCGTGTTGCTTCTGGTGTTGTGTTCGTCCTCACAATGAACAAACAAATGAAGGCCGTGTCCTGATAGCCCTTCTTCCTCCCTTCTTCTTCTTCTTCTTCTTCTTCTTCTTCTTCTTCTTCTTCGTCTTCTTCTTCTTCTTCTTCTTCTGTGCAGCCCCGGCCACGACTACGTCGCTATATGTGTTTCTGCTTCGCGGGCGAATGATGAGAAGAGCAGCAAGGAAAGAATTGGGTCCATATCGGACGAAGCCTACAGAGACAGGAGGGCTGCCCGTGCGTGTCCGAGGGCAAGGCGAAGAAGTGCCAAATCAGCGTGTTTAAGTAGGCCGGCTGGGGCTGCTGCTGGGCGTGGCGTCACACCGTACCGCTGCGCCGCTGCTGCACGACTCAATGCGGGTGACTGATGACGCCCATCACCTGCGGCCCGCGCGCTCTTCATACCCACCACCACCACCACCCCCGGCATTTGCGCGCTGTCTTCGCCCCCCCCCCTCTTTCTGGTCCCCTGCCGATGACACAAGGGGTGATGATTTCTATCCATGGTGAGTTACGTCCTCCACGCTTAATTATCGCCCTTCTGCTGCGGCAGTGAGCCTCTGGAAACGTTTATTTTTATTTTTGGGAACTGGCGGCGACGGGAGGGAGGGAGGGAAAATTTTTCATAACAACAACTCGAGGTAAAGGTTTTCCAGTGCGATTCCAGTGACTTCCCCGTGATTATACCAGGTAGTAGGAGCGACGCACTTTCGTAGTTATATTGTACCGCATGCACGGGGGCGTGCGGGTTTGCCTATGCTCGCCGCGCCCACGGCTCCTTATGGCCCCGTGCCAGTAGGCAGCCCGCCCGCACGCGTGCATGCGGAACACTATAACTATGAAAGTGCGCGGAGTCTGGTCTGGTATATATGCAGCTACTCTCTTTTTCGAATGCTTCGAATGCGAAAAAGTAATGTGATACCTGTCCGTGCTACCCACCCTACAGGCGTAATAATGACACACGTTTGGACCCATCTGTCGACAACTTTTTGACGTCTGAGTGCCTCCCCCTCCCATAACTCATGAGCACAGTCGATCAACTGGAGGGGCCGCCGTTCAAGAAAGAAGAGAACCCGCAAAAACGCCAACCTCACCCGTGCTCCCGCATAAGAGGAGCGCACGCATGAGAAATTGCGGCCACCAAAATGAAAAATTGCGCGCACGCATTTGAGTCGATCGTGGGTCGACGCGACGATACGGCCGGACAATAGGACAGCTATCAGTCGTCTTCAGTCCGGGCGCAGGCAGCCGCGCAAGAGCAGGCTGCCGAGGGGGTATCATCACCACCTCGAGGAGCAGAGTCAGAGCACCCCCGCTGCGGCGCCGCGCCTCGGCCCGGCGGCCCCGGCGGTGACAGCGAGGTTAGGCACGTGCTTCCTCTGGCTGCCACGCCGCGGCCGCTGAGGGGGCTTCTTTTTGCCTCCCTTGGGGGCCAATGCCGCATTACGGGGCCAGATGCAAGCAGCACGAGCAGCATCATATGGGCTGCTGTTCCCCGAAGAAAAGGTGTGTTGCGAGCTGAATGGCAAAGCACTTACTCACGGCCACGGGGCAGAAACCAGAGCGTCGCGACCGCACGTTGGGGTCGGGGTGGACCCACCGGGGGGTCCCATGGCGGCGTCCCACAGCCAGTAATGCCCGTGATGAAGTAACTACGTCGGACGACATCTCATCAGAATAGCGAATATCTGTAACTATATTGTTCGCAAACTAGGGGGAAAAATGATCAGTCTCTTGTGAAAAAGCTAGTAGTGCTTTCCTAATATCCAGTCCTCAATTCACACATGCATGGACAATTTGGGGAGGTGGGTTATATTTTTCATAGGATTTATTTGACGCACTCGTAGTAGTAGATAGATGCGTTGAGACAAAATATTCATTATCTTCAACCAACCAAACACCAAATTGGCCATGAGAAAAGTGCCCCATGGCCTCCTTTACAAAAAAAGAAAAAAAGAAATAAACAACCGCAACGAAACGCAATTAGTATGTGGTCAATAATTATTTTATTTATCTTTGTTCCTTTCTTGATACCCGACCGCCACACGCGCTGATCGCGGCCTGGTCGCTATGGCGGTCACATTGACGGTGGCGAGAGGAGGATGTGTCGCTGAATGGAGCGCACCCTCATAAAGTCACAAACGCGGGGCAGAGGAGGAGGAGCACCGGCGGGGCGATCCGAAAGCAGAGCGGATCCAAACTCATTTGCATCATCAGACAGAGAAGGGTGATTGGCGCGCCCGTCTGTATCGGCTCCGCATTGGCTCCGGTTCGTAAAGTACCTCGCGGCGGACGTTTCCTGCTCAAGGAAGTTGCGTTTGGTTTGGTCACGGTTTCCGTTTTGGGACACGGCGCGCGGTGGTAGCGGCGGCGGCGGCGCGCAGGGTTGCGTTCGAAGTCTTGGGTATAGGTAGTCTGCTGTTTTGCAAAGAATGAGAGTGCGGGTAGAGGACATTTTTCCTCTCCTGCTTTTTCGGAAGCGTTCGTTTAGTACGGGGCTGTAGTCCGAAGAAGGGAACGACAGATCCAAATAAATTATTTGGCGGTCGCAAAAACGGTCGTGTTCGTTGCGTGTTTACTGCTTTGGCAAGGATTGCATCACCCACTGATGAAATTTCTTGCTTAGGCAAGAGATAATAGAAATTTTGAAAATTTTGGAAAATTATTATGGTACGAGAAATTGCAACTGACTCTGAAGAGGTTTTTTTTTTTCATCACTATTTTGGTGACTCGTCCCGTGAGTGGTCAATAATGTGCGTCCGAATAGTGATTGAGACGTTACTCGCCACCCCACTCTCGCGGATATCCGGAAGCTCCCCGAGACTATCGCCTCCCGATGGAGACGCGTCAACGCGTTCCTTTACGGCGACACGGTGTACCGGACCTACACTGTAAACGAAATATCTACGACTGAACAACGATCTAAAACGGTAAATTATAAACACAATTGATTTTGAAGAAAGACTGTCTAAAAAGCTCAGCCTCAAAGTGTGAATTAAAAAAGAAAATGGCAGTAAAAGTACACTTTTTTCAAGCACCTTTAAAAAAAATAATGACTGTAATTTTATTTCACAGTGTTACACAACGGAAGGACGAGGACGAGAATCGGTCAAGCAGGAAGTGCACCGATCGCATAGGCGAGACTGTGTGGGGATCCAGTGACGGCGTAAGTCACACTGCGACAGACGCGACTTACGCGTTTCTGAGAGTACATCTGGACGGCGGCGGCGGGCGGCGGGCCCTGCGGGATTAGCTTGCATGACCGCAGCACTAAGCCCCCCTCTCGAGGGGGTGCCAAATCAAAACGTGCGGAGAGCAGCGACGTGGTTAAGCCTGGAAGACAATGCGAGTAGTAGTGGAGGGGCCGGGACTCTATACTCTTCTGTGGGAGAGCCGCACCTTCCCGCCGCTGTAATAAAATCGGATTGATCGATTTCGAATCGATACATTTCCGACTTCGGTAGTCTCGATTCGTAGGAGTTCCCCCCCGCTGGGGAGGTTGGGGTAAAGGGAGGGGGGAGGGGGGGTGGGGCAGGTCTTATCCCTTCTTGGAGTTAATGATGTTCGACTGTCGATGCATCTTCGGGTAGTAGCGGTCCGAGTGCACGCACATCCTGCCTCCTTTCACTCGTGGCATGTTTACGAGCGCCGCGCTGCTACCCCGCGCCACGCCGCGATACCCCCCGCTCGCGCACCGGCGGGGGGTTCCTATACAGGGGTGCCTCACTCACCTCGCCAAGGGTGTCCGCAGCGCGCAGCGTCCGCGCCGCCGTGCTCGGGGGTAGCGCCAAGCGCATTAGCCCGATCTTTTCTCTCTATCCCGGGGGGCAAAAAGACGACTCTGCGGCCGTCATTGGCGCTATAATCATAATATAGGACGAGTGTCATATGAAAGGTGTCCAATTCAAGGGGGTGGGATTTTCGCGCCAGTTGTTTGAACTACTCCTAGATATGCCTCTTCTGCGGACTACGCACTCGGCCGTGTAATGCAGGACGGTCTGTCTCTCGACTCTCGAAGATGCGCGTCCCGAGAGTCCGAGAGCTGTACCAGCTGTACTACTATAGGGATGAGCCAACAATAGCCTGCGGCAACCCGCAGCGAGAGGTCTTTGATTTAAACGATTTAAACTTGTGGCGGGAAGGCCCGACGCCTTCGCGCGCCTAGAACGGGGCAGCCTTGCTTTCCAATAAGGTCAAGGCCTGCTTTGATTAGGGGGCGCGACGCCACGAGAAACTGGCGCGGTGTTGACAACGACAACAAACCTCGAAACCACCCTTCGGTGCGATATTTCGTAGGTGCTGTCGCTGCAGTTGTTACATGTTTCGTCTACATCAGGAAGTGAACCTTTTTCCCATGGCAACCGTCAAAGTCCCCGCGCCGTTCGCGGGTACCGAAACAATGCCACAGTAACGGGGCTTTATTGAAACCTTTCCCTTGTTCCGTGATGGACGACGTATTCATCAGGCCGAACGGCTAGCGCGCAGGGGACTCGTCGCGACTGTCATCGGCTTTCCCTCCTCCGGAGTCGATAAACTCTCCGCGGGTCACCGGCGGAGGTCACCGCCGCCGGGAAGGTCCGCGGCGGCGGCCGGCAGGGGCGTCATCGCCGCGATTGTCTGCCGCCGCGACTTTTCGCGCCCCGCGCGGCCGGGGAAAAGGAAGCGATTATTTGCTATGCAAGGATGTTTATGACGGGGTTGAATCTTTCTAGGGGAAACGAGAGGGTATATAAGAGAGAAAGTCGTAAAGCAAAAGGAGTCCTTTCATTTCACCACGCGGAGTCCTTATACATTTGAATACATAAAAGCGACGGAAATTAAGTGATTCGCCGACACACTCCGTGCGTTCAATCATCGATGCCGAGATCGAAGGTGAGAGAGCTCGGAGCTGTGAGAAATTTCTGCCTTGTCCGGACGCACTGGAAAAACAAAGGAGCAAAGCCGTGCATTTCCTGGGGCACTAAAGGGCCCTAAAGGTGCTAAAAATCAGTGCCTTTTTGTAAAGGCACTAAATAAGACTTAGCACCTTTGTTTTTCCAGTGCGGTTGTGTATTTTAGCACGGAAATTACAGAGCAGCATGCATAAAGATGGGACACTGCAAGGTTTTACCGGTAGTGATCAGTTGACGAAAGGCAGGGGCGCGACGACGGAGGCACCCAGATCCAGGTCGGGTCCGGGACGGACTCGGGTCGGGCCGCGGCGGCGCGGGGTCGGCGCGGGCGACGCGGTCCTCGGGCGCCAGCAGGTGTCCCGGAGCAGCGCGAGGCGCCGGCGCGCCGGCCCCCACAGCACGACGAGCGCCTGCGCCAGGTAGAAGGCCATCTGCGCCACGCTCAGCACGCTCAGCCCCAGGAGGAGGTTGAGCACGGCGCAGTAGGTGACGAACTGGTCGGCGGGCTCCTGCTCCCGCCGCTCCGTGTACTTGATGGCGCTGTGCAGGTCGCGGTAGAACACGTTGAGGAAGGCGGCCGCGCCGTGCTTGGGCACGTACAGGGACCGGCTCGTGCTGAACTCGGAGTCGTACGCCGTCAGCGAGCACATCGGAAGGCAAGGACGGCAGTCGGGCCAGGCCGAGTGGTTGCGCTCCTCGGGGGAGGCGCCCGGCAGGTCCTCGGGGGTGACGCGCGCCCACTGCATACGCCCAGCTAACAGCGACAAATTAAAAATGACTCTTACAACATTGAAACAAAACATTGTTTTTAAAGAGTTTTTACTCGCAAGGATGTAAAAGATGTCTTTATTTTTCGGGCTATGAAGTTAAAGGATTTTTCCGGTTGTTTTTTCAACATAAAAGAGAATATTGTTTGCGAGAGGGCAATACTCCCTTTTGAAGTGTACACATGATTACCGAAATTCTTGATTCCCAGTAATTCCCGTCGGCTTTACAATCATTCCTTAGGTGCTTTGGTGGAAGAAAGTGCTAATTTCGGCTCAATTGTTTCCCGACTAGTTAAAGAGATTTCTGTTGATTTCGATTAATTTGTATCCTGATGATTCCCAGGCAGGTGTACAGTACTCATGATTCCCGGAGTTGTTGCCCCCTCGATTGTTTGAGTTAGCCTGCCGATCATCGTCAGAGAGTAAGATTTTGCGTCTGTGTTAACAACTCACCAGCGTGTTGCACGATACACCGGTACTCCTCCAAGCTGCACTGCTGATCTGAAACACACAGACACACACACCAAAAAAAAAAAAAAAAAAAATACATTTGATAGGACCGTAAAACAATGTCCACACTTCCGACGGCGTGCGGTAGTAAAACCATACACTAGAAATGTGCGAATTCGCGCTGCGCACTTACTGTTCTTAAGGATGATGTACGGAAAGCAGTTGCAGTTTTTGTGCAGGAACAGGACCCTGCAGACGAGGATGCAGGTGTCCTGCGTGTACCAGTTCTGGTCCAGGTCGCGGAATAGCTCGGGCAGCTCCTCCTCGAACAGGCAGTGGCGCACAGTGGGGTCCAGGGTCCGCAGCCAGGGGTCTGCCGCGATCTCCTTGTACGTGACGCTCACGGAGGTCATCGTGTTGCCCGCCTCGGTGATGGCGATGCCGCGGCTCATGTCCGGGTTCTCGTTGGCCGACTGCACCGACACGTCGTAGCCGCTGCTCTGGGCCCCGGGCAGCACCATGTCCAGCGGGTCGGCGAACGCCAGAAACACCTACGAGAGGTCACGCTGTCGAGTGAGTGACGATACCGTGACCGGAAGTACGTCTCGGCACAGCCTGAGTAAGAAGTGTGCAGCTGGTAAAAACATAGGTAAAAACTGATTTTCACGAAATTCATTTTATCTGCTATTTACACGGCTTGCTAAATTTTAATCATTTTGGGGAACTTTGTAGTCCGATTAGTTTTTTGTGCTTCTTAAGATTATTCCTTACTTGTACAATAATTATTACACAGGTACCTCTAGAGCGCTGTGGAGACCCACCCCGGTGGCCCTGACGAGTCCACACTTGTCAGTCTTGGGCCGGTTCAGGTACCAGACGTTGGTCGCCGACTGCGTCGGCCGCTCGTCGTAGGGAATCAGGGGACTATGCGGTCAAAAGTCATAGCAATCCAGCATTATATAGTAGCGCAGGTAGGCGCAGAAAACGCATGGAAATAATTTACGAAGAAGAATTTATTTTTGCAGTTGACCACCTTACCAGGCGACGCGACGCTCCTGCGTGGTGAACGAGTTAAAGGCGAAGCAGAGCCCCGAGTTGGACACGATGCGGCGGAAGATGCTGCAGCAGTCGACCTCTGTCCCCGCCCAGTTGCATCGTTTGAAGACTGAGCTGCAGTTTAGCGCCACCTGGATTTGCAGCAGAACAATAATCGCAGTCTTTAAAGAAGAGAGCGGAAATAGGAGAGAAGAAGACAAATTTAAACGTGCCACTCTAAACAATGTCTATAAGGCGACAATAATTATTGCAACTTCTAGCACCAGACTTCTGTGTGTGTAACTAAAGAGTCCAGATAGAATATTGTATCGAGCTAGTCACTAAATGCCTACTAATTGTCAGTTACAAATTTGTATCTAGTCAGTTATGCAAAGTCCTGTGCTAGTTACAATAATTGTTACAATAATTGATCTCAGACAAGTGCACTACGCCTACTGTCTGCATGAAGTCAGGCAGGTCGATGCCGGAGAACAGGTCGTAGACCTCCTTGTCGTATATTGGAAACGGCCGTTGATCCAACCAGTATGGCACTTTAAAACTTTGAAGGAGCTCGAGGGCAGGGAGTACCACAGACTCGTTCAAGAATGAGACTTGGTTGTTTCTGTAAAAAGGAGGTTAATGTAATTGTTAGTCTTACAACTTCTATCATTATGTGCACTTCTGAAGGGAAGCCCACGGGCCCATTCCTCTGTAGTATAGTTAGTTAACACGTTAACGCGACGTGACCACTTTGTGGTCACGCTCCCATATTATATCATAGGCACTAGAAACGAGCCGCTCTGAACGTGTACCGCACTCCAAATTTCTTAGCACTTTTTTTTGTAACCAGCACCCGATTTCTGTGAACTCTGTGAACACAGGTTCAGATACATTCGCAGATTCTCTGACCGTTAAAGTGGCTATAGTGAACTTACTGCTTGAGATATTCCAAGGCGGCCCTCTTGCGGACCTTCATCTTGGGGCAGATGGTGACGGCGGGGAAAGGTATGTTGTACACGGCCTTGGCGATGGTGCGGACCTCCACGGTGGTCGGGTGCTGCGTGATGCGCAGGTACGTCACGGGCAGCTGCCAGAGCGTGATGAGGATCGCCACCAGGACGACGATCACCCACAGGGCCCTGTCGAGGACGTGGATGTTCCTCCTGGAGGCCAAGACCACCCCGTAGACGTACGCGTTGTCCAGGAAGTCCCTGGCGATGGCGGCGAGGCGCTGACGCGTTGTTGGGGGTGCACGGGTGCGCACCGGCGGCCCGGCGACGACGGCGCCGAGCTGCTGGTTGGTGCGCGACGCCCCGGGCGGCCGCGGGGCGACGACGACGGCGGCGCGGCCGAACTCCCTGATCCAGAACACAGTCGACCGGTCCTGGAACAGAACGCGCGTTAGATATTTTCTCCGCGTGCGGCGATTCTCTCGAGAGTTCTGCTATACCGCGGACCCTCCATGCCGACGGTGAAGGCGGAGGCGTCGTCTGCAAAATAGCCATTGTATTAAGGGAAAAGAGCTCGCGAGCGAGCGCAGAGGAGTCGCCGCCAGCTCGCCGACGGCTTTCCTCTCTGCCCCCCCCCCC